GTTTTCTTTTGTTTATTTCCGACTGTCTATTTTGATAATAATAGAGTTGACAAGAGAATATTTCAACTATGATGATATAATATGCTATGATCTTCTATTCTAATATATAAATCTAATCTTACCATCTCATTTTACTATATTATAAATTTTCTGTTAGATTTATGTAATATTTGTCAGACATGTCCTTCATACTTGTCAATATTGATACACATAATTTAAAAAAAAAATATATATTTAACATAATATTATTGATATGAATAATATATCTTACAAAAATATAAAGTAAAAAAAAATTGGGTACATATCATTAGTTAACAAGGATCAAATTGATTGAAATATATAGTTTTGTAGAGAATGGTTATAGTTATCATCTGAAAAGTAAAATAATTCAAAGTACATCGAAACGATGAAAATTTCAGAGAAGTAATGAATAAATACTAGAATCTCGGCAGCGAAATTTGAAATTGATTGACATATTTATAAAATCGTTCAAGCTTTTTCGTTATTATTTAACAGAGTTTTAGAAAAGAATTAATGTGATGTATCTGAAGAAAAACTATTGTGAGTTTGGTAAATGTATCAATCCTTTTCGGAATTAAGTCTTTAATTTCTTTTTTTTAGAAACTATAGTATTTAATTATTATTTTTTTTCACTTTTCGTCGTTACTTTCTAACAAAATTAATCAGTAATGCCCAGTAGAATGCTGCAACGAATTACCCTATGACGAAAAGTCTTATAGAGCCCTGTGTGGGTTTAAGTTTCTGAACTTGCACTCGATTCGACTCGAAAATCTTCTTCGTTTTATTTATTTTAGATTAACTAATTTCTTCAAAGATGATTATTCAAATAAAAATTGAAATTTTTATAAATATACAGACTATATATCACAAAGGCATCCCGAAGGTCTCATTCGTTCTAAAACGGTATCAGAATTTATTATTATTGTATACACTATCAGCGAACTCTTCAAAACTTACATTTCTTATTGAATGAGCGTAGTGCTTTATATTTGTAAGATGTCAGTTGTTATGGCTTCAACTTTACTTGGAAACTGATAACATTGTAGAGCTCTTTTATAAAAGTTCTCAAATATATTAACCATCAACACACGATTTAAAAGTGATGTTTCGGATTATAGATGCATCGAACCCAAGCAGTTCAGACAATATCAGGTGTTTGTCCAAGCGTTTCTTTATGGTCGACTGTTTTTTATGCTAGTCTTAGATCATGTTCACCAGAAAAGCAAAACAATCAACGTTTACTTCATTAGTGTTAAATCGATTTTTCTGGTTAAACATTTTTGAAAAGTTTACGGAAAAAAATAGAACAACGATGTTGTAATTTCTCATTATTATTTGATGCAATAACATATAGAATGTTACAATTAATTTGGAATATGAAAATAGAATGATCAATCTTCGCTTTAATGCATTTATCCTTATTTTATAGAAGAATGATAAGTTATGTAGTTGCTTCAGAATTTTTTGAACTATCACAATGATATTCATAGCTAATATAAGCCGATAGCTGCATGACGCATTGATGTTTACATCTGTCGTGAGAAAGTATCCAGAAAAGAACGATAAATCGTGTTAGGAAAGAGGAATCCACCACAAACCTCGACACTTTTCTAAGGTCACCTCGCGCTCCATCTGCACTCGCCCGCAGGTCGGATAGACTTGCAAGGCTCTTATCTCGTGACAACTACTTGATTCATCATGATTACGCAGTTTTCATTTTAGACTTTAAGGAACGTACTGAACTGTCAGTAACTTCAGTCAATTGACTGTTCATCTGCTCATGGAACTTAGAAAGATTATACATAGTCCCACCATATAATACCGTATATGAAAATATAAATTAAATCTATCCTTCAACATACATTTTTATACAGTGATCCCTCTTCAATGCAACATATGGCAAACTTTCACTTTTATTTTAAAATACATATTCTTGTTGATTTTGTCTAATTCTATCGAATCACATATAAATATCTAGAAGAAAACAATATTTCAATCGGTTTTCGCAGTTTCAATAATACAAGAATATTTTCTTGACGAACTTTTCACTTCAAAATACTATCCTCGATATATTGAGAATAACCAATTTATCCTTTGTTGATCTAACGTTGATACATTGAACTTTTCTCAAAAATTGCACTATACTTCTAACATCTGTGATAACTAGATGAAATAGAATGTCTAGTTTTATTTGTCAAAAAATTATTTTGATATGCATGTAATCGAAAAACATAATAGACAATTTATACTTTCTCATTTGTTTCTTTCTTTGTTCACGGTAAAGATAGATGAGATTCAATTAAAACAGTGTTGTCAAGCTTTTATTTTCTTCTTGGTTTGATTTAATATGAATTACATCTTGATTGATAATAGACACTATCAAACGATTTCTTTTCTCTTTGTCTCCTAATTTGGTGAGTAATAAAATATTGAAAAGATACAAAGCGATGATTTTCGTTTTGATTGATAGGAAAAAAATATGGATTCTAATACAACGAAAATGATTGATTCGTATAATTATTAAAGCACGCAACGAAATAAATCTGGCTGAAAGATGATTCTTAAGGTCAATAGTAATAATATTGAACTGTATCTGTGAACAAAAATCATTGTTTTACAATGCGATATAAACTTTGGCTTTCTTTTCTTTATTTTCGAGAAACATTGATTAATTGGTGCTCCTGTAAAGAAAGACAGTGTAAAAAGATACATCTGTCATTCAACTGAATGAAAACACAAGAACATTTGCAGAGAATGTCATGAAGAAATATCATATCAAGTTACATAGTTTAGAGTAGAGTATGTGCCCGAGTAGTTCGAGCTCGGTACATGTTTACGCACTATAGGACGTTTATATAAACAATTATATTCATAAAAACGATATGAAGAAATGGCTTTGATTGGTTTGATAATTCGATTCATTACTATATGAGTTTTTGAAAATTCTGTTTTCGTACCAAAGTTAATATCAACTTCATTATGGTTATGTTAGTAATGCATTAGATTAAAAGAATTCTGATTAATGACTATAACTCGGAAAAATATTCCATCCTAGTGAATACGAACAAATTGATATTTATATTTGATTGTTGATAAATTTTGCCTATTCAGTATTATCAAACTCATATATAGTAATACTGAATGACGCAATAAGTATTTGCACTAGAATTTATTCTATTTTATACGCACAATATAAGGATGACTGATTGCTTTTAACGGCCATATGGATTTAGCTTTATCGACAAGTCGAATAAGATCAGTTTGTTCACTCATGCATATTCGTCGATGTTATATCAATACTTTTGATAAGACTACTAATTTGACTGTTTATAAACATCAATTAAAACATTTAGTGCTTTATGAGTAACAATGGTATAACATTCAGACAAACCGACGACAATATAACCAATAGATGAAAAAATGATTCTATTTCTCTACGGACTTGTTCCATAGAGATACTGAACAACACTAAACAGTGACTACTGATCCAATACATTCAAAACACGAGTATGATGGTTTTTGGTTTGATAAATCTTCACAGAACTGTGATATAACCGCTGGTCGTGCAGATAATGAATTAAATAATTTTGTAAATCAATGATGAATCATCTATGAGAAAACAAATCAATATTGGAGAATTTTTATGAGCCCAACGACGTTTTTCTCGTTAATTTTAATGATAAATTAGTCATGCTTTAATGTAATATATACGTAGAACAATAATACATTGTTCACCATGGAAACGTTGCATTTCAACTTGCTGCTTGAAAACAATTGAAAGCTTTCAAAAGTTATGATTTAAATTACACTAAACAAATTGAATCTTATTTTGTTAGTAAACATTTCCACATACAACTTAGTATAATATTCAATAATAGAATTTAAAATTGTTTTATCTAATTTGTTTTATTTTAATTGATTTCAACTTTAAAGGATAACCAACGAACAAAATAATCATTATTTAAAGAAAAAGCTTACTAGTGGAGTCTGTTAATCGTTGATCTCTTGCTTTATACGCATTCAAATAAACAATATTCGTTGTTATTCTTTCATATCTGTTTTTCGTAGAGCCAATAGGTAAAACAAATACGTGTCAATCAATTCATAAAAATTAGTCAGTCCTATTTTTCTATTGTGAACGAATAGAAAACAAGTTGCATCGGAGTCAGTTTTAGAAATGATCAAAGTTCTCTAAACTACTCACCAGTAAATTAAATTGAATGCTACAGGCTTTTTTTGAGTGGTAAATATCAGTTTGTACAGTGAATATCAAAGAATAAAACTTACAATTCAAAAACCTTTTTTTATTTAATATGATTTATTAATGAGACATTTAGTTGTCTTCGATACAGGTCTCTAGTCTCTACTGCTTTCACTTCAATGATAAACCAATCTCTATACTTCAATCACACTCGTTTCATCGAATTTGTTTTAAGCTCTTACAACAACAAAAAAATGCATGGAATGCATGAAAGTCAAATCAGAAAACATACAATCAAATAAAGTTTTCAATGATAATTTTTTTAAAAAAAATTTTTCAATCATCCATAGGCTATATTTTTACCAGAATAACATTAATATGATTCAAACTGAATACTTTGGATTTAAGTCTTGCTCAATTATCACAGACAAAGACTGATGTTCGATATTTACAAGTTTCTTTTGACTTAAAACTTGTAATAATCTCAGTGCAATACCATTAAAAAAATCACATCATGTCGTTGAAAAAAAAAAGGAGTGTTTTTGTTTGATCAATACTCTTTTCTTTCTTTATACTTCATTTTGATAAATTCTTTTGAATGGCACATTCGAAAAAAAAACTGTTCGTTGCTTTTTTTTTTTATCGATTTCACCTGTACAAACTGAGTTACAGCATTTTGCGAATGTTTGTTTTGTCATCAGTTAATTCATACGCAGACAAGAAAGCAACAACATAACAAGAAAACAACGAGTTAAAAAAAATTTATCAGGAAATAACAATGGAAAATATGCAAGATCCGATGGAAATGGAAAATGAAGAAGATATGGATCCATCAGAATATGCTCGATTACAAGAAGAATATGAAGAAAAACTAGATGAATTTATGCGTAAACATTTACGTCGGATATGGCCTGTATGTGTAGTACGTTTACTTGGTATTTTTCAATTATTAGTTACTTTGATTATACTTGGTGTTGATTTACCAATAATTCTTATGTTTGCACCACGGTGGCAAGTTTTTGCTGGATGTTGGGCATCTGTACTTGGATTTATCGCTTCTGTCAGCACAATCCATTCATGTAAGATATTAAAAAAATAAGATTAATTTTAAATTTTAAATTTAATTTGTTTTTAAAGCTCGACAAATGACTTGGTCAAAACTTAAATGGGCTGCAGGACTTAATATATTAGGTGGATTAGCTATAGCTCTCATGATAGCATTTGATATACTTTATTTGGTAAATTCAAAAGTTTGTATTGTTATCAGTGGTTGTAATTATTTATCGTATACATATTCAGCCGTTAGGCCATATTATACAGTCGAAGTTGTTATGGGTGTTTTGTTTCTTTTATCAGGTTATTTCTTTTATTTTTATTGAAATATTCAATTGAATTATTTTTCTTTATAGGTTTCGTATTTCTTGTTCTTTTTATTAAACATGGTATTGGGGGTTCAACACTTTTTGAAAATATTCAAAGAGGATGGGCACCACCTATTTATAAACCTATAGAACCACCTAATAGTACTATGCCAATGCCACAAAATCCAATGGCAAGACCTGGAATGATGATGCCTCCACCGCCACCTGGTTCTATGCCAATGCCACAAAATCCAATGGCAAGGCCAGGAATGATGATGAGACCACCACCACCTGGTTCTACGCCAATGCCACAAAATCCAATGGCAAGACCTGGAATGATGATGCCTCCACTGCCACCTGGTTCTATGCCAATGCCACAAAATTCAATGCCAAGGCCCGCAATGATGATGAGACCACCACCACCACCTGGTTCTATGCCACCATATCAAGCACCAATTCCTGGAGCAATGATGCCCAGACCTGGTATGCCAATGATGATGTCTGGTGCAAGATATCCTCCCATGCAAGAACATTATAGACAACCAGGTCCATATGCAGCTCTACCGCGTCCTTATCTAGCTTGAAACGGCAATGTATGAACAAATCAAGTGCCAAGATTTTTTTATTTTTCAGAACATTCACATATATCCATTGTTTACAAGTATTTGAATAAAACATATATAAAATATTATTTATTCGTTACATAAAAATGTTCAATGATCATAATTTTTTCAATAAAATGACTTATTTTATTTACTTTAATAATTGAAAATATTTGTATTCATTGAGCTATTTCTATCTACTAAAACGCATCTATAAAAATAAATTAATAATCATAAGAAAAAAATTCGTTCTGCATCACTACTCTTTCCAATCATACATTTTTTTTGTGCATGCGCTCAAGCTACATAAGAACGTCCTCATTTCGTTCTATTTCATTGCGTATTAAGAACAAATTATTCGTAACTAATTTTAGTTTCTATCCAGTATGTATTACTAAGTCATTTATATATCTATAAATAAAAAATATCTCAAATTTTTATATCATTAGAATGAGTGAAACTGCTTCCACTAATCCTACTCGTGAATTAATCACTGAATGGATGCATCAAGAAAAATACAATTACAAAGAAGAAACAAAACGTAAATTTTATGCTAATCTGGCTCATGCAAAAGGTGTTTTAAAAGTAGCTGCAGCTGATTTAAAAGTAAATGAAGAAACAAGAAAATGGGTATCAGGATATTTAGCAGCTATGGGTTTGTGCTATTTTATAAAAAAGATTACTTTTTTTTTTATTAAACAACGAAGAAAGAAAAGTATGAATATTTTTTGTTTGTTTTATTTAGGTGTACAAGATGAAATATTGGATTTAGCCGATAAATACAAACCAAATATAGAAGATGGTACTGTTCCATATCATTCAAAAAGTGGTCTTGAACATGCTAAATATGGTCAATTATGGATTTTTTTTGATGGTTTTTGTGCTGCATCAGCTGGTGGAGAATTAACACCAGAAAAAATCACAGCTATTTATGCATTAGCGAAAAAGATGCTTATTGAGGAAGAAAAAATTAAAGAAGTTCAACAATTATTTGAACGTGAAATAGAATTACGTAAGAAACGTTTAGAGATTTTATTTCCTAATGGTATTTATACGGCTATTAAAGAAGTTGAAATGGAACAATAAAAATATTAAGAAGAACATAATTAGACAATTATAAATCATCTACAATTTACATACGTATTGTAATTTTTTGGTTGATTTCCTTCAATAAAAAAATTCGGAAATAATGACAACAATAAATATTATATATTATTTTACTATTGCATCAGTTAGATTTCGATCTTAATATTCATATAAGGAAATCAACATATGGTTGCTACATTTCACTGTTAATATTTTTAATAACTAGGTCATATATTTGCATATTGTTTTCTTCTAGATATTTATATGTGATTCGATAGAATTAGACAAACATTTCTTAATTTTTTTCTTTACTAAAAGCGATTATTTTTCAAACGATCATTGATCATTGCGATGACTTTAGGATTTCATTCGAACATTTCCAGTTCGTATTTACATGAATTTCGACCTTGGCTCAAGTTGCTCTCATTAACGTCTAAAAAAATTTGATACACTGCGTAAAGTCCAACAGGATGGTATAGTTCTGAGCAGTCTGGTTTGGTCTTTCAAAAAAAAATATAGAACACTACAGATAAGTAAGAGATTTAACAGTAAAACACAAAGAACAAAGTGTCAGTCTAAATAATAACAGCGTGATGTCAATTTCATTGCTTCTTTTATTCTTATTACATATGGTGTAGCTCATAGTAAGTTGCGTGTGGATAAAGAGAAGATACGCAGTCATATTCATTCCATATCACATTGACAATGACACTCACATCTGTGTTGTTGATAAGGACTTTTTAATGAAAAAGTATACGACTAAGCAAGGTGAAAACTACTAACTATTCATAGAAATAAAACATCTTATGAACATTAGTAAGAAGAATTTCGAACCGGACCGAAATTTTGACTTTTCGTTCTAGCGATCGCATGTATAAATCTTCATAAAATTACAAAAAATTATTGTTTGCTTATTACAAATCCAAAAATTCACAACGTTTGGCGTCTAATTTCTTGCAAGTAAATAAAAATTATTTTAAATTTTCAGGCTTCTCGACTTGCTAATAACGAAGATATATAAACCATATGGTAAAGAAACCTTTTTCCCGTAAGAAGAAAATATCACAATAAATGAATACTGAACAAAAAATGTATCAAAAGAACATTCGCGAAATTCGAAAATCTTGATAAAAATTCGTCAAACATGATTAATGAACATTGTTCATTCATATCTGGGAGAGTCCAAAAATTTTCAATCAATGCTAGTGATGAGTAGAACCGGTCGTTTTTGATCTCGGTTTCACCCTTAGTAATAAATGTACTAGTGAAAAATGCGACATTCTTTTCTAGGAATATCAATGAGCTCGAGACATCTTGCTTCATTCAGTACATATATATACCTATGTTTCGGCAAAAATTCCACTTTGTGAAAGATAAAATATAATATGTCAGACGTTAATTTTTTTATGACTTTTTCAAATATATACAAACTAAAATTTGATTTTTCTAATTTACATTTATATAGAACTATATGAAAAAGATGATGTTGATTACGATCACAAATTTCATCGTATAGAGCATACACTAAAAAATGATCATTATCATGAACAGTGTCTACAGACAAGTTCAATAATTATTAATGACAATAAAACTATGCTTTAATATGAGTTTAATCACATATATTAATAAGGCACACCAATAAAGACTATAATTATTATAAGCGAAATAATAAGGATATGCTACGTATATGTTGATTGCACAGAAATTCATCTTTTGAGTACAAGACTTATAAAAAAGAAATTATAAATTGTTACAAATAACATTGAATGGATAAAGAAATTTCGACAATTATCAACACATGAAAAAGTCATTCTTAGACAACATCCATTGGGACATTTCGTATACTACCAAGATATTTCTAAAATTTCTTTAACATCAATATGAATACATGAATTTACAAAAAGTATAAAAATCTACACTAAAAAATATAGGTTTCATTGCGAAATCTAGAATGATTCTGTGCTACGAAATCATTCAAGTTTAAAACGAAGACTGATAGGTTTTGCTTTATATCCTAAAAGATTCGCATCGAACTTAAATGCTTTCGGAATATAGATAGATACCGAGTTCTTTTTCGTCCTACGGATCTCAAAAAGATTTCCTAGTCAAGATTTCGAGAGTATATACGGAAGATGAACTATTTTAGAATTTCACAGCTCCTACCAAATGTAACAAAGGTTCGATGTTAGAACGACTGTTTTTAGGGAGTAGAAGTTTACGCATAAAAACTATAAGAGTTTTTGGTTAGTTTTCCCTTGTCGTATAATGACAGCTTCGAAGATTTCCGTTTTTAAGTCAAGATTTTATCTTCTATCAATGATAAAAATTAAGATATACAATTCAATAGAATTTGAAATGATGTCTATTCAGTTACATAGGATCTCTTTATTATAAAATACAAATCTTGACACTAACAAATCAAAATTGTTGTCAAAATAAATTTAATAGTTCATTTATTAAAAAACTGTTGACGTAGACAAACCAGATTCTTGCTCTACACGATTGCATTTGATGATGCTTGTGATGGTCCTTGTTGTGATTTGAGTTCAGTGATAGTTTTGTGGGTCGATACTTCTTGTTTTGGTTCTAACTTTTCAATGGATACGTATATAAATGACAAAAAAAGTACGCCTAAAACAAGCATTATAATAGCACAAGATAGTTGTAACCCAACTGCAATAAATTTTTGCCGTTTAACAGCTAAATATGAACTAAACCAGGAAGAGATCCAGGTGAAATCCCAATCGTTATAAAAATATAATTCACCTGTTCAAAAACATCTCCGAGGGTGGCGAATAAAGTGAGCATCAAACCCCAATAAAATAATCAATGGAATAATTGAAAAAATATTTTCCACTAATTCATGTGTTGCACAAGTTCGAGATCCCCGATAACAAAAACCTATAAATAAAAAAAAACATCATTTTACTTATAACTGATCATTTTTTATATTCTTACCAATAGTAAATGCTGATATCCAACTTATAATACCAATGATAACAAATGTAAATATCGTTTCACAAATTGCTATTATAGCAGCAACATGTGCTCTTGTCCAAACCTGTTCCCACTATTAACATTTGAATTGTAACACGCCTTATCATAACAAGCGTCCTCCATTATTCAGATATAGATTGATGAAAGTATGTAAATATTCAAAAATAATGAAAACATATAGAGTTTTTATATAATAGATAAGATGACATATTATGGTTGTCTAAGATAGAAATCACATATTGATAAAAGAAGTCTTTTCTTTTGATATCTCATAATAATAATGGCATAGCTCAAGTGACATCTACCTATATCCGATAGATGTGCAAATAAAAAAAAAAGTAAACTTACGAATATTTTATAATTTACATATATTTATTATTCCAGACTAAATCGAAGCGGATATTTCAATTTCAATCCTCAACTAAGAAGTAAATAGAATAAAAAAATTCTTTGCATAAAACGGATCGAAATACTTAGTACTATTACATTCACATACATGTCGACAGAAGCCGTGCGAAGGTCTCAATATATAGGAAGCGTTGAGAAGGTGTTTAAGAAAATATCTTCTAAGGGTTAAGAGTTCAAAATATTTTGGTTGCTTTATTGAGTAATAACGAATAATTTGCAATTATTACGGAGGGGAAGTGTACACCTCCAATTCCGAAATTAGCGGTCTCTGCATTTCATTTCTTTTTATCCTTTGAAATTGTTTTTGTTGTAGCCTTGCATGAAACCTCACCTAAATTTATAATAGACGAGACTGTAAACAAGATTTTTTTTAATATTGACAAGTTAACTTTCATAGATATCAAGTAGCGGCACAATCGGAAAAATAGTTGTAGAAAGAACTAAGCTTCTTGACCATATGTCTGTAGAAAATGTGAAGATCCTAGTTTACGAGTTGATTATGTTTATTTTTTTTGTAGTTTACTTCTTTCATCTTATTAAGCTTTTTTAAAATAGTATGTCAAATGTTTATAGGATGAAAACCATGTAGAATGTCGCATGAAATACAATATAAAAAGTTTCTTAATCTCAAGAGCGACGAAATTCAATTTTTCCAAGCAGAATTTATCATATATCAAGCGAGATAACTAATGAATATAGAGTCAATTTGTATTCAGAAAATGACTTATATTGATATAGTATCAAACTTTGCGCATTAAAACTCTTCAAAATTTCCATTGATTAAGTCCATGTGAAACACTTTCATGCATCGTTTTTGTACATTCTTTTCTATTTATGAGTTGTTTTTGACCGTTAGATATTTGTAAAGTATGTTCTCAAAGGTATTTAGACATTGTTTTCTCTGGAAAAACTAATGTTGAATTAAGAAACATGATCGGTTAAAAATTTAAATCAGATCTATTTCATTTTCTTTGAGAGACGAATCAAACCACTAATGTAGAAGTGGTTAAGTCGTTACAACTCTCTCCAATTGTTCTTCGGCTATTTATTTTGTGATATTCACACAAAGTGTGAATGTGGGGATGACTGTTGGTGTCGAAAATGCATTTGTTTGACCCACATTCACACTCCACAACCAAACCATCTGGCGTATATTTATAAAAATAGTTCAAAATCTACGATCAATAATTACTTTTCGAATCAGTTTGGCATTTCTATCGGTTCGGATGGCATTTTTCTCGTAGATTCTGGATTCCAAGATGAACTCAAAACACCACCTACATAAACACATTAAGTGTGCGGAAATAGATGCAAGTATGGTTGATGAGAAAACCCACTTCCGAATGAAGGTCACCACTTTTTTCTCAGAGGTTGCGCAAGCTATGAAGATTTTCGTGGAGATATGTTTACTAAATGCGTCAGTAAAAGTATGATAAGAACACAACAGAAAAGAAATAGCATCTATTCGAATATTTAATACTGGAAGAACAAAAATCTTCGTTTAGTTACAAGATTGTAGAGAAGATGAGTATGTTGCAGACAACGAAAATAGCAACTTATGACGAACTAATCGAATTGACCAGGAAAGACACAAATTCCATTTTCAAGAATTGTCGATTGGACGATCGTCTGTATCGTGTTTTCACATATAAAGCAATGGGATGGGTTTCGTTTACTGAACTAGCGTCGATGGATTGCCGTGGAATTATGTTTGATGTAACTGATGGAGTTTCATCACCTAGTCTGGTTTGTTTACCGCCACAAAAATTTTTCGAGTACGAACATGACAGTCGTGATCACACATTAGGTCGCATTGGAGATAAAATGGTTAAATTAGATGGATCATTGATTTCAACGTTTCTTCATAAAAGTCAAATTCGACTTAAATCAAAAGCAAGTCTTGATTCCCAACAAGTGCGATTAGCAGAATCTTGTCTGTATCAAAATTCTCAACTCCGTAGAGAGATTCAATCACTTGCTGAACAAGGCTATACGATTAATTTTGAATTGACATCTCCTCGAAACCGCATTGTGATACCTTACACAATCGATCAGCTTACTCTTCTATCCATTCGATCCCATATTACAGGTGAACATTTATTTGGAACTCGACTTGCTCAATTTCTTCAAGACAAATATCCTGCAATGCTAGCAAATATGGTTTCGTACGAGAACTGTTCGAATAGTGTCGACACTTGTGAGAAACATCTGCAATTCATCGAAACAATTCGTCAAGAAACGACAGGAGAAGGCTATGTGGTTGAAATAGAATTAAATGACGGAACATCCTATTTAACTAAAGTCAAGAATTCAAACTTTCTCCAACTCGAAATGAAAAAAAAGAATCCCAATCTTTGATAATCATAGAATCCGTTTTAAACCAAAAACTTAGAAAAGCATCATCAAACACTAGAAAATTTTCCTCTTTTTTTGTATAAAGTCTGTGCTTTTTTTTTCTTGATACCAAATGTTTGCATTTGTAGGGTTTACATTTCGTTTTGAAACTAATTATGAAAAGTGACTGATTTGAATCGATATCTGTAGCATTCAGATGGTGTTTAAATGTGTGTGAAAGATGGATGATGATACGTAGTTCCAATTAATGAGTCAATTTGTAATATGAATATATATTAGCGATCACAAAAGATGATTTGATCAATAACTTTGATGTTTCATTGCAACTCTCAAAGAAATCGAACGACTAGTATTAATTTTTAATTCATTTCTTAGTTAACGATTTGAATTTTGCGCATCCATTCAAGTATGCAATACGATTGAGCATAACTTTGATCAATGTTGAATTTAAATGCGAGTGTTAATGAAGACAAGACCCACATCCTTGTACCAGGCAAGAAGAATATTATCAGAAGATAGCGAAATTACAGTGCAGCTCATTAGAATTTACCCCCTTTGTATTCTTCCTTTTTCTCAACCATAGCTTGGTCTTTTCTTTCGAAGTCACCTACCAAAAGAAAGAGCACAATCTGCTGCATAGTTTCGTATATGAAACGTATAGATGAGATCGAAAGAGAGCAGAGAAAAACACATCGAGGAAAAAAAGTAGATTTTTTTTCACTACAATGTTGTGCATAACCTTTTGTTAGGGGGAGGCAGCANTTGCGCATCCATTCAAGTATGCAATACGATTGAGCATAACTTTGATCAATGTTGAATTTAAATGCGAGTGTTAATGAAGACAAGACCCACATCCTTGTACCTGGCAAGAAGAATATTATCAGAAAATAGCGAAATTAATACAAATTTTTACGAATTATACAGAAATATACTTTAATGAATACAAAAAATTTTCCCACACATGACAAATGAATTTCCAAGCAACTTCCACAATCACTCGCATATCATAAATGGAAATTACACCAATTTTCAAAATGTGCTTACTTTTAATTCGCACATAATCAAGCAACAAGCATTTAGAAATATAGACCGTCATTCCCAAATTATAAGACTTTTAACAAATTTCAGTAATTACGAGTATTACTATATTTATTCGAGAAAAATATTAATATCATTTAATAAGAAAAAAAAGAGAAACCATGCCTCATAAAATGTGGGTATTTTTAGGAATTACAATGAATTTTCGTAAATGACTAGATTTCCGCAGTAGTTTCCAAAGTATGGATGAGTATTCGCGTGCGTGTCAATGGGTGTGAGTGGGTGAGCTATGGGGATGAATACGGGTGTTGGTATGAGGAGAACATCCACACACATACCCACACTCTGGTTTCAACTTTATGAACGGCTTCAATAATGTAAATCAAAATCTCCACTACAACGTCTTCTTGAATTAACTAAAATTTGTAATGGCAACGTAAGTTGTTAAACATCAATACAGTTATAAAAATTTTGATTTAGTTAATGCAGACGACTCTCATCGAAAAATTTTTTGAGTGATGTCATAATCCCATTACACCCGATAACGACATTTCTCGATTGAACAGTTACACAGCATTACATTGAGCTGACTTAAATTCTGGACGTCAAGCCATACTTCCAAGAGTAATGAAGTCGATACGACAGAGGATAACTATATCTTAAAAGTTGAGAAACTTGAGTTGTTTTGGGGTCATGACTTTTTGGATATCGAAGTCGATATCCAAAAAGTCATGACCCCAAAACAACTCAAATTCCTCAGATTTAAATATATGTACTTCTTTCGAGAGTAATGAGCTGATCATTGTTAAAGATAATATTTAGTGTCTAGAAATGAATATGCTTCACTTGAATGCTCCATTGGGTATTATGACGTTTAACTCTCGATAGCCCGTGTAATGGTATTATGACATCTATGGCAGAGATGTATAAAAGGAAACGAATAAACAGTATGTGAATGTTAGACATGAATACTTCAGATGTCAATCATCTCAATATACTTGATTTGCCCAATGAAATATTACTGATCATTTTCAGTAAACTGAATACGGTCGATGCTCTCTATTCATTTGTTGATGTTAATCAACGATTTGATTAATTAGTACTTGATGCACTTTATATTCACAATCGTGATCACACCTTTTCAATAGACAATCAAGTTCTTTCAAGAATATGGGGAAAATGTTTACCCTGAATTCATCCTCAATTAAGTGAACTTACTGCTGAACAACATTCAATGAAACGTATTCTTTTTACTGTCTATTATCCTTAACCTTACTCGCTATCACTTGTCAATTTTCTGAATTTTGTTCATTCAAATTAACAAAATAATGAAATTACGAGATAAATTAAGGATCCTCTTTATTTTATTTTTACATTGAAGGTGACTCAATGCTTCATAATCTTCTCACTCAACAAATCACATATCTTAATATCAATGTTCTGAATGAGCCAACAACACAAGTCGACGAAATTTTATTGTGTATATTTGTCTTGATTTTATCTCTATGTCAACGATTAATGAATTTAAATTTTTATCACTTGTTTCCTGATCGGTAGATGCTGACTTATAGGTAGAAACCATCATCAACAAGTTGTACATCTTTGACTTTCACTAAATTAAAAATCACTGTTGAAGCGTTTGCTGCCTGTCTTTATCTTCTCGATGGACATTTCAGTTGTTTAACAACATTGATCATTCATACGAAAAGAATTTCATATGCATTCTCAGACACAAATAACAAAGTAAGTGTAATTTTCATCATTGTATTTTAAGGAAAAACACTACAACTAAATAGACAAACATTCTTAATTTTATTTTCTCTTTAGGAAAAACTTCCCAAATTGAAATGTTTTTCATTGATCTCAAATGACAATACATTTCGTTATGACGATCGAATTATTCTATTACTTCGTCGAATGATAAATCTTGAAGAATTACCTTTATTATTGTGAGTAGTACAAATTGACTCGACTTATATTGATGGTATTCAATTACATTATATCAGATGCTCATTTATATGCTATGACTAAATAAATTTACATTCAGTATAAACACAAGTGTTTCTAGCGACAAAGTTAGAATTTCACTTCCATCAAACAAAGACATCCAACGTAGTTTCATTGGAAAACGATATGGTCAAGTTGGTTCATATGTCTATACTAGACCAATGAGTAGTGTAGGCAAGTGCCATATCTATTCACTTCCGTATCAATTCAAAGATTATCTTTAGTTGAACAAATCTTTGCAAAGTGACATGTTTGATAAAGTCCGATCCTTGGTAATGAATGAGACACGTTATTTTGAACATAATTTCTTCAAACTTATTTCTGAAGATTTTCCTTGTCTCAACGAGCTACATATATAGAATTTTCGACCACAAAAGACAAGCAGTATTTGCCAACATTGATTATATTTCGTCATCTTATCCTTCTCGTTCTAGTTAGAGCACACGTGGATTATGCTGAACAATTTCTCTTCGATAAAAACACTCATCTGTCTTGTTTGTTGGATCTGTGCATCAAATACCAATCACTTATAGTAGTGAGAAACGATTTTACCAATGATTCAGCACGTCTCACTTATGCTAAAGTTAAAAAGGCTTCGGTATAAATGATTTCTTTATTCGGACAGAAAACTTTAATCAGTATTTTCTTTTATTGCAACTATTGTTTTTGTTAAAAATTCTTTGAATAAACTAAATTAGTATGCGAAAGTTGAATTTATTTGAATGATACTGATTAGCTAAAATAAAAGGATTATAACAAGGCAGAAATATTCATTGATCTACACTATATTTTAGTCTTTTACCTATTTCAAAAGAAATACAACGTCACGTTTTCATTTCAATACATAAATTTCTTGTGTTTGTTTTTCTGCTTAAAAAAGAATGCGTTTTCCACTATATGGTTATATGTATCTTTTTATATGTCACAACAAAAATTTCATTGAAATTGATAACTTTGAAGAGTATTTGTGAAGTTTGTCCGTATAAATAAAAATTTGATGATAACACGTATATTGGGTGTCGGTGCCAGCAGAGTGAAGAGCCACACCCGCACTCCTCTGTAATATTGATGGTGGTGGCGCACGAAAATTTTTATTGGTATTCATTCGACTATAACAACTAGTAAGGACACTAATTCAATAAATACTTCAAACATTTCTCATGGTTTCTCTTCTTTCAATCTGTTTTCAGATTTTTAGCAGATTGAATGCACTCGTCAATTCGTTAACAAATACATTTCAATATAAACCAAATAGTATCATGTCGTTTTTTTCATGATGAATCAAGTGAGACAAGATTCATTCAAAGTGAAGATCAATTGACATCAATTGAAAATCAATACCATCAAGTATTTCATTGATGAATACCTTGTTCAATGGTCCAATATGTTTCATCAAAAATGAAAATCACACTATTAATATTCTACTTGACTATAGCTATGGCTCAAACATCTCTAATCAGCCTGAGTACATGTTTTTACCATATGTTAGAGTATTTTCTGATGACAGAGAAGAATTATAACAACGATAGCAGTATGAGTTGCCTAATTTGAGTTCGAATATAAATAAACATCTCAGTATCTAATACGACTTTGAAAAGAAATGAAAAAATGGCTTCCCAATGCAAATAGCAAAAGAAAAATTTTTATTTCCGAAGAGCACATCACTGTTGACATAGCAAAAGATAAATTTTATATAAATTATAAATTTATAAATCCGAAAGCGCACCTCTGTAGAAACAGCAAATAAACGACACTTTTTAACCGATGCCAACACGACACTCCTTACGTTGGAGTATTAAACTGACGAGAACACGTTTTGTCTCAGCGTCGTGGCTTGGAGGCATGTACTGCCGCCCCACTCCCGTCGAAGAGTCGTGATCCATGCTCGTCTCTGTGTACACAGTCATCAGGATAGTTCCGATTTGAATTATGTCTTCAATGCACATCACTTTATATGTTTCCGGTTTTTTGCTGCATTGATAAACATCTGCCATTGAATTTATAAATTTATAATTTATATAGGATTTGTCTTTTTCTTTTTTTGATGTCAGAACATGGAAGCCATTTTTTTTTCATTTATATTCGAACTCGAATTAGGCGTCTACTTGACAACAGTCAAACAATGAATCGAACAGTCTATTTGATATAATTTCTATTAACGTTATACAGCAAGACACATATCACATACGCTCATCGTGATAAACTGGTTTCTTGATTGCTTATGTCGGAGAATAATTAGATCTGGGAAAGAAAAATGTCATAGACACAATTGTTGAGATTAGAGGTGCCGATAAAGTTAAAAAATAGTAACAATAGTGCACAAATTGTATGTACCTCGCAAAGATGACCTTTGTGTAGACCACATAGAGCGCTTCCTACTTCTAAAGATCAACTGTAAACTCTTCCAATTTCTCTAAAGAAAATACATCTTTCAGGGTTCTAACTACAGTAAAAATTCTAGACCTCTAGCTCATTCCAATCAAAAGGTATGAATCATCGAAATTCCCTAAAATGTAGACTTTCCATGTATTCGATGATTCATAAAGTCCGAACAGCTCAATATTTTGAGAGGAAAATTTAATTTTAAAAGAAACTTATTAATAGATGTGTATTCAAAGAATATTTCAATTGAAACGGCAGACTCATCCTTGAGATATGGCTTCATTAAGATATCTCTTCCGATCGGAATGGTTACTTTTAGAACTTTTCGTAAGAAATTCTGAAAAAATAGAAGATTTAATATTTTCTAAAATGGCTTACGTCAAAATTCATAAAACTCTTCCGTCTAAAACATATTTGAAATTGAGCAAGTTCGGTCGTAGCCTATACTGATTGGCTCATATAATGACGCTTTCGATAGTGATATTTTTTGCAGAAATCTAAACATACCACAAATAAGATATGCAAGATTTCATCTTATATTTTAAATAAAGCAAAGACACATCTTCTGTCAATGTTGAAAGTCAGTCTATGTTACGTATTAGAATTTGCAATGATCTCTCTTTCAAGCACGTGGAGTTTTTCTATTTATTATAACACAGAAATCTAGACAGTAACAAATCAAAAATGTTGTTAAAATAAATTTAATAATTCATGTTTTTAAAAATACGATGGGTTAGACCAAGAAGGTGGCTGCCCTATCAAGACTACATTTGGTGGTGGTTGTAATGTTCGTTGTTGAGGTTGCAGTTCCATTGCACCTTGTGGTTGGATACCTCGAGATTTGCTCTTTACATTCAGAATGGCATACAGATAAATAAGAAAAAAAAGTACACTCAATGCAAGCATTATAGCAGCACAAGATAGTTGTACTTTAATTGCAATAAGTTTGTATCGTTGAATATCAAAGATAGAATATCCGACGAAAGCCCCCCAACTCAAGTCCCAAGAGCTTAAACGACATATGCTATATGGCCAAAAGCATGTCGAAGGATAAAGAAGAAATTGAGACTCATAATACAATAAAACACATGATGCAATCATTGAAAGTATATTTTCTACTAATGCATGAGTTGCACAACCTTGGGATCCTCGATTACAACAAGCTATAAACAAAAGAAGATAGCTTATATGCTAAATAATCATTTGTTAAATTCTTACCAACAGTGTATGTTGATATCCAAGTTATTGTATAGAAAAAAGAAGCAATATAACCAATAAGTAAAAATGACATTCTGAAACTTAATACCATACTCCATGTTTCAATGCCAAGAATAGCGAATGTAAATAACATTTGAAAAGTTGCGATTAGACCCATAAGTCCTGTTGGCCAACTTTCTTGCCATAGTTGACGTTGAGTTTTAAATCCTTGGCCATAATAAGAGGATTGCATGATTTCGCTACAAAATATTAAATGTTTGTAAATGCTGAAAAATAATGAAAATGTGTCCACTTTTTATATAATAAGTAACATGACACATCATGGTTGTCTAAGATACAAACCAAACATAAATAAAAGTAATCTTTTCTTTTTACTTTCGATATCTCTTGATAAGAATGGTAAAACTGAAGTGATGCCCACATATATGTTAACAAATATTGAGATTTAAAATAACAGTAAAGTAACAAACGTCATATGGTTCATATATACTAATCATGTCAGATAAAATCGATATGAATATTTGAATTTTGATTGTCAACTAAGACTCAAACAGAAAAAGAAAATTCTTTGTATAAAACTAATCAGATTACTTAATTTTGATTTTATCTTCTGATATTGGTTTTTGTGGTAAGTTCGCATAAGTTCTCACCTATTTTGACAATATATAAGACTATAAAACAAGCTTTTTTTGCCAATTGTGAACTTAACTTTTACAAATATCAGACAAGCACAAAATCAGAAAAAAGTTGTTAAGAGTGTAGACAGGACGAAGATCCTCGTTTACAAATTGATGAGATCTACTTTTTTTTTTGGAATGCACTCTTCTTATCTTATGAAATCTTTCTTCTTTAGTAAGTCAAAAATTTACACGATCAAAACCATGTACAATGTAACATATAGTATAAGATAAAAAGTCGCCTAATCTCAGGTGCATCATAATTTCATTCTTCGAAAGAACAATTTATTATATATTAGACAAGACAAGTAGTGAGTATGGAGCAAAATTGTCAGTGATGATCCTTTCCTCTGCTCCGGACACTCATGCAAACTGTACACAACAATGGACTTATATTGATAAAGCTTCACACATTGCACAATGATATTTTTCACAATTATTAAAACCTTTTTGTTTTTATATTGATTACTCATTCAGTTCATATGAAATATTTTCATGCATTGTTGTGGTACGCCCTCTTCTATTTATATAATGTTTTTTGATGACTAGACATTTGTAAAATGCATTGCGTTTTGCGTTGCGTTTTAGACATGACAAGACATGATTGGTTGAAAAAGTTAAATCAAATTTAAGACATTTCAGTTGCTGAGAGACGAATTAAACGAAATGCACCAATCAAAAAAGCAATGATTTCTCTCAACTGACAATTCCGAAACTAATGTACGTATTATCGCGACAAGACATCAGTCATAATTCATTTTGTGAAATATACAAAAAATTTCGCATCTACACATTATTTTAGTGGCATGTTGTAAAGTTCTGATTGGTAGATTCAAATCATCATGTCGATGTAAAATTCGAATAGAATATAATATCTTTTTCCCAGTGACGACAAAATAAAGCTTTTTGTAAAAGATCATTGTTTTTTCATGTCAAAATCTACAATACTAACTCTTGATCTTTTGAAAGAAAATTTTATTATTTGTCGTCTTCCATCTTCTTCATCATTACCATCATGGGCATTTACTGGTCCATTTTGTTCAATAACAAAAACAAATGATGAATTATCAATCATTACAATTGACAATGAACGATTACCAAAGGATATTCAATGTGAACGAAATTGGAAATGTTTCAAACTTCTAGGTTCATTTCCATTTGATATGATAGGTGTCTTGACATCAATACTTAATCCATTGGCTAAAGCAGATATTAGTATATTAGCAGTATCAACATTTGATACAGATTATGTCATGGTTAAAGATAAAAATTTAGAAAAAGCTATTGATGTATTAAAACAGAATGGACATACAGTGAATGTGTAATCACTTAAAATAATTAAAAAATAAAGAAAGAATTTTGAATAATAAAAATCATGCAAAATGATGGAATAAGGTTTCAGAACAATATATTTTTCGATTTTTTTTTCTAGAATGTTCAGCAAGTGACTCAAATCTAGATAGTGATTTTAATAGTCAATGAAGTTTTCTTTCTAACACACTCTATACCAAGATTTCATAGATGGACTAAGATGGCAAGATTTCGAAAAAAGCTGAAGACTTCGTCAAAACTATTTGTTAATAATGCCATTTTAGAGAACATCAAATTCTAAACAAAATGAGGGGTCGCCGTAATTTCTATGATCTTCTCTTACAAAGTTAAAACTATCACAAGGACAAAAAATAGAAATTTTTCTAGCGATTGTTTTATAAATTTTGTTTTTTTTTTACAGTTTTTGTCATACTTTTAACTTTTTAAGGAGAGTCTTCGGGAACCTAAAAACTCCCTTGTTCGGTTTTTAGAAAACTCTATAGGCTATTAAAATCACTATCTGGATTTTAGTTAATTATTTAACATTATTGAAAAATATATATATATATATTGTTATTAAACTCTTTTGGACCAATTTAATTATTTTTACAATGAATTATTAAAACCAACTATTGCTTTTCATCGTTTTCAGAAAGAGTAGATCAAAAAAACTATTTGCTGCTAGATATTCGACTAAGCAATGAACGAAGATTTGTAACAATTTTGAATCAAATGGAGAACCTTCCGTTTCACCCATCAATATGCTGATATCTATAACACTTGATAACTAGCTCAAATCTACATAGTGATTTGAATAACCGATGACATTCTATATATAAAGATGTCATAGATGAATTATGAAGACAAAGTTCGTACATAGAATATTGAAAGTGATTGTGTTCAATGCTGAGAAGACTTTGTGAAAATGATGTTGTTTATGTTATCAGCCCTAAGAATATTTGATTCCAAATAAAGAGAGGAGTCATCGTTGTTTCTATGATTTTCCCTTAACAAGTAATATATATATATATATATGTGTAACAGAAAACAAAAGAATTCATTGAAAACCAAAAAGAAATTAGATTGTATCGAATTAAAACAGAATCATCAAATAATTATGTTAAACAGAAAATATCTTTAACAGTGTTTTCACATTTTTCGTGTCAAGATTTGTTTTTTGCAGGTATTTCTACTGAAATTCTAAAATATATATCAAAATATTCAGAGGATTTTCTGTCATATTTGACGTTTTAGTGAAATCTTTGCTAAAAAATCTGCATCATTTGTTTCGGTTTTTGATAATTACAGTTAGACGATGGAATAGATGTTAATATTTTAAATTGCACTTCAAAAAAGAAAAGGTTCTATAGCAATTGCATTCTGTGTGATTCAAATAGAATTCTATTTGGAAATTTTAGGACTTGAAAACTTAGTTTGGGGTTTTTGAGAAGCTCTATCCTTCGAAAGCTAGCAATCATTTTCATCGTTGAAAATAAACCTAGATGAATATTATTTGGAACCATTGTAAGTGTTCAAAAAAATGAAAACGATTTTGTTCTGTTCAATCTGCGCTACTCGTTATATGACGACAATGGTATATAATTGCAATTGTCTATAATATAGTCCAAATTCTAATAATATTACATTTTCTTTAGTAAATAATTCAGAAAATTATCAAAATCTTGAGGAAATCAAGATTGTATTACATAAGCGTATTATCATTTGAGTATTTTGAAAATAAATTTGAACAATGCAAAAGTCATTGTATATTAAACAAATATCATCAAGAATATCTTTATAAAAACGCTTCCAATTATATCTATATGAGCTTTGAGTGCTTAGAACAATATTTTAAATAGCATATTATTTGATGGCATTATATCTTTTAATAATAGTCATAGAAATAGAAGAAATGTTATAATTAAGGTGCGGGTACAGAGGATAGTCACATCCACACTCTAGATACTACGTCACGCTTTGTATAGTTGTGCTAAATTATATACGATGAATTCATAGTTCAATAGGTATAATTAGATAAGAATCAATTTTTGTTTACATATAAACTAATTTTCCTTGATTTTAAATATTCTAAAAGACGTATATAAATTCGATGAAAATAAAGTTTACATATTTTATTCAATTGGTTTTCTAAATCTTATCATTCGCTGTGATCGATTCAATTTAGATCGATGCTTATATACATCATATAAAATATGCACGACAAATAATACCAAAAACACCATTGTTTTTTTTTCTTCGAATCATATATAAGAATTCATCATGATAATCAAAGACTAAATATAGATGTATGAAACACAAAGCGAAAGTTATGATTGTAAGTCGATCATAATGTTGCAATCATGCATTATTATTCTCTTTGTAAAAAGAAAAGAAATAAGATCAAACAAAATATATCATTTCCTTTTATCTAACCGGATTTTTTTTCTTCTTCTTATTATTATTTTTAGAAAAATGAGGAAAAATCAAGTATGAAGAGTCATTAAAAAACAAGGAACCCTACTGTTAAAGTATGACATGTTCATTCATTCTGTTGATGCAATATAACATTATAAGTCAATATTACTTTTTTTTTGGTTTTCTATCATATTTTAAATGCAGAAAACACTCATCCGGGAAAAATAAAGAAATCAATAATACTATGAAATTCATAAAAAAAAAAGAGAAGAAAGTGACGAAGAATCCTAGAATTGTTATAGCTAATTGATACTTTTCGGGTCTCAGCTGTATTGGTCTCATTTTTCTTTTTCTTCACTATTGACGCGTAATGGAATGAAAAAAAATAACAAGAAAACAGGAGAATAAAGCGAGAAACCGACGCAGTTTGAATATTAAAAAGAAAGACCAAATTTTTTTTCTTTTCTTGTTGTCAAACTTTTCCTCGAATTAATTTTATTGCGCAGTATATTTTGCTTTCCCTTGCTCATTATACATATGTCAATTATTCTTTTCTAATTTATAATATTTCTATTCTGATATTTGAAAACTACTCTTAAGTAAGTATCCTCTAAAAATTTAATAAGGTACTCTGTTCAGTAAATAATGAATATTATTTCCGTCATATATAATTTTCAATATAGTTATTAACATTGACAAATGTCTCTATGAATCCATAATGATGAGTTATAAAATGAGTGCAGAAAAATATAAGGATGGATTTATTATATCAATAAAATGTTGTGATATTGACTTCTATTGAATAAAAAATTTCTATTGACATATAAATAATTTTCTTTTTTCATCTTTTGTACATATTTTTTATAATGTGTAGTCTATATATAGTATTTAACGTATCTATGTAAATATTTATCGACTTACAAAATTAAACAAGCCAATACGTATGACTAGATAATTATGTATTTACTAGCAATTATTTATCTATATTTTTATTATAAATAAGATACGCATTTTACTTTTTGTATAATTCTGTTCTTTTTTCGAAACACGCATGATCGAGCATATACAATTAAATATACGCAAAAGAAAACTCTTTTTAATCTACACAGTAATGTTTATATTGACTAAACACGAAGAAAAAAGAAAAAAAAAAGATTACTCAAGCAGAACGCAATAGGTATGTGCATAACGATGTATATGCCATGAAAGGTCGGTTAATCGATAGTAATATTTATTTAGGTTCTTCCATTTACTGACTATTATTTTAGTTTTAACCATTAGACTATTAAATAATGCTGTTTGATGCAAGGAAAATTCTTCTATTTCATTTTTTCTCATAGGATTTTCATGTAGAATTAGTAATTAGAAATTTTATCCTGAATAGACAAGAGTCATAGTTGTAGAAACGTGTTATTGATGAAGTGGTAAGTGCAAATATATATATTTATATATATTAACAAGACTTTGAAAAATCTTTTTTATTTATTTAAAAGGTATGTATTGCATGCAATAAATTTAATACACGTTAGGATTTCCTTGCGTTTGTTAATATAAAAAAACAAAACAAAATTTTTGAGTAAATAAATCAGAAAAAAACTAATAAAAATAAGGTCTTTATTAATATATTTTGTTTTTTTCTTCTGAAAAAAAATAATTTTCATTTTGATTTTCCTTATTTTAGGAAAATAATTTTATTTTCTATCATATAATCATGTCGGTCGATGCAACAGCACCATCATCACCACCTCCACGATTGTCAATATTAAAAAATCGTGTATCCTTCAATTTTCATTCTAATAAACCCATAGATACGCAAGTATCTCAAAGTGCACAATTTCTAGACAGACAATTGTCAAAATCTCCTAAAAAAGATCATCATCAACAAAAGCATCAATCACGAGTTCGAGCAATGTCAAGTACAGAAGAAACATTACCTGATACACCACTCGAATTAAAATCAATACCAGAATTTTTAAGAGTTGATAGTAAATATGATAAACGTACTGGTGAATCAAAATCAACATCCGAAAAAAATCATCATCCGTCTGCTGAGCATCGTAATTCAATCGCTCAAATGAATTTCAGTTCTTTCTTATCAAATCCATTTCGCAATCCAAAACATCATCAAAAAAGTATTATAAAGTAAGCTATGGGTATAATAACAGATGATCATGATAACGACATCGTAGTCTGAAACAACGTCATTTCATTAGAAACCGGTGACAAAAAAAATCTATTGATAATGAGAAAAAGAAACTAACAATTCTTTCTTTTTTTTTTCTTCCTTTTTTTTTTCTTATCAGCAAATGTGAGGTAGTTGCAGATGATTATTACGTACTCTAACCAAACGTGAATGCCTTTCTTGTCGCTCATCATGTCTTTTTCTTTGATTATAAACTTATGTTTTAGAGACGACTCAAATACGACTACTATTACTCTAAGCAACACTAACGCATCAGTTCCAAATTCTTCAATTCATTCCTCTGATACAATAACAATGACAGCAGATCCATCCTTTCAGCCGGTAAGTCAAATTGTTGTATGCCTTTTCTCATGTTTGAGAAACAAATTTCCTTTTTTTATGTAATACACGACATTACTAAAATAGATGATGTAGAATAATGAGTAGGCCGAAAAAGACAAAGAGAGACAGATAAAGAATATGAACACGATATGTTAACTATTCTTTTGCGAATAATGCTAGCTTTTATGTTTAAGGATGTACTGTCATCTCATCATAAGATCGTAAGTAATCATTTTAAAGATTTAAAATGTAGACAAGATGAAGATTAATCTCGTCAGCTCACAGTGTGAATCAATCCTTGCTGTATTTTTTTCTTGTGTCCTTCAAATAACATTTGTCTCAAAAAGAGACAAACAAAAAAACAAGTGTTTTTTTTCTGTAACAAAAATATGTTTAAAAAAATGAAAGTCTCTCAATAATGAGATACTCATATAAGCGTCTATTGTAGTTACGCTTGAATAACGTTGACAACCCATTAGTAGTCTTATTTTTCCATTTCCCACGCTCTTTGTTTTTTGTTGCTTATATTCTTTTTTTCTCTTCCGCATCTCATATTCTGTCGTTTTTCATCTCATATATATATATATACTGATTGTTAATGAAAAAAAAACCGGGATCTTATTAGAAAGAAAAAAAGACTAAGACTCATTCTTTTTCTACTTGTCTATTGTCTGACTTTGTACCCATCTAATCGCTTCAAAATTAATACTAAGCATGATGTGTAAGTCTGACGAACAGAAACACCAGGTAGTATAAGAAGAAAAATCAAAATTATAATCGAGTTTTTTAAATAAATATATATATATATGTTTATTATTAGAAGTCACCAACAACACCTGTACATTTTTCACGATTAATGCCTTCGAATAGTAGTGAACGTTTCTTATTTTCTTCACCTGAAGATTCCGTATCATCATCATTTATTTTCGATGAAAATTCATCTGAACCACGTTCGGCGGAATTATTTATATTTGAATCACATTCATCGTTATGCGTCTCGGAAATTTATCGTAATTATTTTTTTGATTATGTAAGTAAATCAATGTTTTAAAATAAAAGTCTTTTCTATTCTTATATGACTAGTTTCATATAAATTATTCTGGTGAATTTGATGGCGAAGGTCCATTTATAGCATCACTACGATGTATTAATAAAAAAACAGCTATGACAGATACATGCGAAGCACGTGCGATTATTCGGTATTAATTATTAATATGAAATATAATTAGCTAACTTAATTTATTTTTATAGTACTCAATGTCGTAATTGTGATGTATCTGAAACGGTGAATAGTACAAATGAAAATAGTATTCTTCGAGTTTTATTGAATAAAGCACATTTACCACCAGTTCATACATATGGACCTGTTGGTGATCCGAAAGTGAGTAGGTGAGAAGAAAAATGAAATAAAATTGAAATTATTGTCATTTAAAACTATTCTTAACAGGCAAATGAAAAAATTTATTTATTTGATAAAAAAAATGATGAAAGATATAATTGTAAAATTGGTGTTATTTATCAACGCTGTAATCAAACAAATGAACAAGATATATTTAATAATGAAAATCCATCAAAAGATATATTGGATTTTCTTAGTCGAATATCTCAACGTGTTTATTTAAAAGGTTTTCAAAAATATCGTGGTGATCTTGATACAAAAAATAGTTCACATGGAGAATATTCATATTATTCTGAATATAAAAATCATGAAATAATGTTTAATGTAGCACCATTAGTACCATCAACAAATGTCGAGGAAAAATCTACTATAAGAAAAGGTTTAATTGGAAATGCATTTGTTTGTATTGTTTTTCAAGAATCAGGTGCAAATTTTTCACCGAATTTTATTTCTGGAAGAGTTACACAAATTTATATTACTGTACAACCAACTATGCATGAGGAAAAACTTCATTATAAAGTAAAATGAAAATAGAATAATAAAAATAATAACTTTGTTTCTTATATTCTTTTAAAGATCGGTATTTGGCGTCGAAATGATATAAGAGAAATACTTGATCCGCCTGGTGGAACATTGTTATATGACAAATCATTTTGTTCTTATTTTCTTACATTATTACTTAATTCAGTAGATATTGCTATTAAATCGCCAAGTCTTCGTTCACGTGTATATGAACAACGTCAACGGTTAAAATATGAAGAATTGAAAAAACTTTTTTATTTATTCAGTATGGGTCCAATACCTGAATTTGGTTCTGAAATGGATAGTTTTCATTATTTAATGGATATTCGTCCTAATGCACGTAGTGAAAGTTTTACGAGTAATGTAACAGTTACAACAAATGATACGGCAAGTTCAAATACTGGTCGTATATCGCCAGCGTCATCGAAAAAGAAAAGTTTTCCAAAAAAATTTCTCGGTGTATTTACTGGTCGATCAGGATCAATGTCGTCATCATCTACGCCATCAAATCCTCCTAATAACGAAGTTTCACATAATTATATACAAACTTTATCAGTACCAGAGGCAACTGCGGCATTAGGTCGAACAATCATTCCAATAAACAAGGAACCTATTGCTCGACCACGATCCACAGTAAATTAAAATTCACTTTTTTTGTTATAATTAAATTCATATTGAAAATATTTTTCATATTTAGAAAACAAATCCTGCACCTGTTCTTTCACCTCATTCATCTCATAAAAATATATTTACTCCATCAATAACTTTATCGAATAATAATTCAATTTCTGACAAGTAAGTAGACATTTTTATTAACTCGATTTTTTTTTTGGCTTTTTAATTTAACATTGTTTATGTACAAACTAGCTCAACACCAACTAACCTAATAAATACATACGCTTTGGGTATAGCACCACGTAGTCGTTCAAATTCTTCGCCAGAAGATACTGTTAATACTAATAAGTATACTAATAATATAATTAGTTCAAAATATTTTTTTTTTCATCATAATTACTCAATAGATCCACTTATATTCGTGTTATGCGAACAATACGAGAGATATGGTAGATATCTTGTGTACTTTTTAATTTTGCTTCTATTTGCTTTTATTATTTAATTATAAGTCTATTTTGAAAAAAAAAAACAAACGATGTATTTTAGATCCCGAAAATCTCCAGTACCAAGAATAACGAAAAGTTATACAATAACTAGTTCTGGCGATGACGATACTGAAGAATTCAGCGGAGATGACATATAATAAAAGCTCTTCTAATCTATTCTTTACATCAAAGATTTAGTCTTTTTCATATTATTTCTTGGTTTCTCATTTTATCATTCTTTTTTCATTTTTTTTCTCTGATTTTTCCGGTGAGATTATGTTTAATACTCAACCCGTGATGATGCTCAACATTTTCTTTTCTCTTCTTCTTTCAATTTTTTCTTCTTATTGTTTTATCAACTCATGAAAACAACATTTTATGTGCATAATTGTTTTACTTGTGTCTCTCTACTGGATTTTCATTGTCTTTTGTTTTATGTATGCATAAATATATTAATAATCAATATATATAAATATATATATTATTAGATAGAAAAATATTCAAATACGATTTTATTTTAAAGTGACCAATCGATTGGTTGTTCGCCAAATTTTTCAAGAGCTGCATTAACAAGTGAAAAACATTTACAATTTGAAAATTTATTAAATGAAAGAGGAGATGGATGTGCAGTTTTGATAATTGTATGTTTTGTTTGATCAATTAGTTTTTCTTTTGCATGTGCATAACCACCCCAAAGAAGAAAAACAAGACCTAGATTATTTGTTAAAATTTATTATTGTAGAAAATAAAGAAATTTATGAGCAAACCTTTACGTTTAGTTGATAAGAGTTTAATGACATCATCAGTAAATTGTGTCCAACCGATACGAGAATGAGAATTAGGTAAATGAGGCCTGGAAAGATAAGTACATATATAGAGTACTGCACAATATTATAACAACCAGGTATTTTTGAATTTTTTAAGCGATGTCAAGTATCTATCTCAAATCTAAAGTGTGATTTGAATAGTCTCTATTAGATTCATCCTATGCGAAGGCTTTATTAATTAAGCTAAGAGGAAAGTTATCATGTCCTAGGAAATGTTGAAGAAGTTGAGTTTTTAATGCTACCATCCAAAAATGCTAAAGTATACGAGGGGTCACTGCTTTTTTTACGACCGTGCTTTTCAAGCTTACGAGCAACATAAAATTCAAAATAAAAACAACATTTTGTTATCAAGAAGCCGCTGAAAAATGCCGTATTTTTGCGTTATTATATGATCGTAAATTTGTAATGGCAGGTTCGAAAACTTGTGACGACCTCTCATATTATTAAGAATTTAATGCTCTGTCAGATGATACTGTTAAAAAATAAACTTCTTCAACATTACCTGGATGCTGAAAACTACCGTATTCATACTTTTTTTTTTTGGCAAAACTTTCTCACCTAGTGCAACTCTAAAACCGAGAGACCTACTTCAGAGTCGACTAAATATCTCATTAATAAATTAGATTTACCACGAAAAAAACTTTTTGAATTCTAAACTTTATGCTTTGATGTTCATTTTAAAAACTGATATGTTTCTGGAATCGGATTGCTACCTTTTTAAGGACTACACTCATGACAAGACCTCAGAATCAACCTCGATTCTGACTTTCCTTTACATTTGTAAAGGCTTGTGAAGACGTAAATCAATCCTACAAAATACGTCAGTTCGTACAAGGAATAAAACTCACCATTCAGAAAAACCTATTGTATTCAATTGTAATTTAGAGAGCTTCATTGTCTATACAATTCAATATTAGGATTTGATTTAAATATTCAATATTATAGGAATAAGTAAAAAAAAAAAACTTTGCTTTTATAATTTTGTTGTTAAACTTACTCGACTGTCAATGAAGCATTGAGTAGAAGAATACCTGAATTTGCCCATTTTTCTAAAGAACAAAAAACAAATGATTTTATGTATAATTGTAATTTTTACCTAAACAACCATGATTGGGAATTTGAAATGATGTAATATCGTTTGCTAATTCTTTAAAAATATTTTTTAAAGATGGTGGTAATATTGTCATTGTCTTAGGCACGGAAAAAGCTAATCCATGAGCCTAGAAAAAAAATATTTAAAAAACAAAAAACAAACAATTTTATTTTTTGTTGTTATTACTTGTCCATCATCATGATATGGATCTTGACCGAGAAGAACAACTTTTACTTTATCAAATGATGTTTTATTAAATGCTTCAAAAATAAGATCATTTGGAGGATATGTTTTTTTACCAGTCGACCATAAATTATTTAAAAATTGTTCAATTTGTTTGAAATTTTTCGTATTAAACAATTCTTGAAGATTTTCTGACCATGATGCATCACGAACGAAACTATTCAATGATTTCTCTAGACTATTGACATCTGTAGTTAATGGAAGTTCGACTGAAATTTTATCTTGTTTTTTCGATGAAATAGTCTTCTTTGTTCGTTTTGTCTTCGTTGTTTTTTGAAGAGGAGCTTCTTTTTTTGTAGTAACTTTTCGTTTTCTAGTGTTTGCCATTAATCTATAAAGACAAGAAATTTAATTACTTATATTTTGAAAGAAAAAGTTAGAATGTCAATTTAGATATTAAATGTCCAAACAAAGAATTTTTTTCTATAGATCTACCAACGCCTGGATATGTATGAAAATCTACTGTTTTTAGATATTTTGTACTTCCTATTTTGTTTTTGTTAATTTTAATAAATCAAAACTAAATAATATTATTCTTTCTTATTTATAAACTACTTGCAATGTCACAAAAACTCACCTTGATGGCGACATTACATCAGTGATGATTAAGCGATTGACGTCATCAAAAATATTTTCACCAGGTTAAAGTGGTACATGACTAACACTCAATTCTAAGTATATACAAGCCATTATTAATTATTATAATTCATAAGACAAATTTTATATAAAACGAATACAAATATGACAAAAAAATATGAATAGTTTTCGTCTCTTTTTTTTTTTATTGCTTAACTGTATAAATAAATAAATAAATAAATAGCCAACAACATATATCAAGTATTCAGTATGAAATGAAAACAAAAAGAGTTAGTAGTAAATTAATAGGACTATTTTATAATTAATAACAAAACAATACAACTATATAAAAAATAACAATAAAGAAAATGATTATCAAGTATTAGTAATAACACTGTTTGCCAAGATCAAAAAATGAATAAAAAATGGAATGGAATGTTTTTAGAAATAATTATGCCGAATAATGTTCAAATAACCATTGTTGTGATGGCTTATTACTTTTACATTCATTTAACTTGACTGGATCATTATTTGAAAGACCTTCAACATCAAGACAAAGATTACTTGGATGATGAACAATGAATCCATACTTTAATACAATTAAAAATAAACAATCACAATGTAATAAAAACAAATTATTTTTTGTTTGTTTTTACTTTTTCATGTGTCCATGTTTGTTTCTGATCACTGTAATCACACTGAGTTAGAACAACTGATTTTGAATTGGTCGTAACTGCACATGTAGCTTCTCGACGTAATTGATTAGTTTTTGAAAGTGTAAAATATTGATTAGCTGATACACCATTTTGACATGAATAAACTGCTATTTCTAATGATCCTTTTTCATCTTTACCTAATGTATCTAAACATAAACTTGAAGCAGAATTTCTAAGCTAAGAAAAATAAAATAACAAATTTATATGAAAATTTTCTTTTTGAAACTTTTTTTTTTTTACTTCTCCATATGCAAGAACATTTTCATCTAAAATAAATTTTTCTGGATATACATTATCAAGATACCATTTAAATGAATGACACTTTAAACGAGTACGAATAGCACGACGTTCTTCAACATCACCAAAATCTTTACCCTTAATTAAAATAATCTCAATACTTATTATCTTCAATAAACAAATAAATCTTACAAGAAGTTCATGTCGATGCATATAATAGAAACGTTTATAATCATCCATCCAAACTTCAGCTAAACGCATTGAATTTCTACCATGTACATCACCTTTGCCTATAAAATCAATAATTTTTTGCTTTTTAGATGATAAAGATTCTTCAATAATTACCTTTTTCTCCAGTCATATTATATGGATGACCTGGTCGAAAGATATGACCAACACGAGAACATGGAACAAATTCCAGACTACCACCACACATCCATACACGAAATGAGATTTCTAAATTTTCACCACCCCAAACCTATATATTAAATACAAAATAATTCAATTAAAATAATCAAAAAGAAAAATCTTACTTCCATATCTTCGTCTAAATTAAACAAAAAAAAAATTAAGTGAATCAATTATATGTCAATATCTTACCATAACCACCAATTTCAAAGAAATATTTTTTATCGGCTGCCAAAAGACCTCCAGCCATAGTTGGCGATCTAAAGAGAAAACAACCAAGAATTTTTATTCATTCAGAGGTTTTTTTTAAATCTATTAAATTTTTAAGACAATTGGAATTTATTTCTCAAAAGTATAAAACATATTTCAATCGAACCTGATAAACTAGATCTTTACGATGATCTTATAATAATCTAGTCATGATTGGTTGTTAATTTTAGAGAATGTACCGTTGAGTTGATTCCAGACAAGATTCAACGGGCTCTAACATAACCATCATCGTACTCTTAGTGCTTTTTTTATTACTGATCTGTTAAATCAGCTGAATAATTAGTACTTCTTTAAATCTGACAAAGGTATAATCGAGAAGTAGTAGTCAGATTTAAGGTATTTGCTATCCTCATTAGTTACAACTAACATTATATTTTCTAGTTTAATTTCATCTATATTTTTGTTCTATTAAAATTTACAAAAATCATATAGATATAAGGTATGAATTCAAACCGATCAAAATAAAAACTACATAATATACGCACGGATAAGGATCAATTCTTGACTTTTGTGCATCACGTATTCGTGGTGGAATTGATATCCAATTGAAATGTAATGACCACCAAAAACCACCTACACTTCCGGCACCTGTACCCTATAACAAATAAATTTAAAATAATAACAAATTAACAAATATCATTTACACCGTATGCCATATTATTATCACTAATCATATCAATCATTGGACATAAAATCGCTGAACGTTTTTCTTTAATTCGAAGTAAAAGTGGTTCTAACCTACAAAAAATAAGTACTTTAATTAAAATAAAAGAAAACAGAAAGACGAATAAGACCATAAATTTTCTTATTTCCTGTAATGTTAATAGCTATGTATCGTTCGATGCAGAATTTTACACTACGTCGTTTGATAGCAATTTCCAATCGACTCGATAATATCGAGGATAATAAGAGCTATAAAGGCTATTCTTAGTTTCTTATCCTCTAAATTGGCGTCGATACTGTGAGATATCTTGATAATAACTATGCATAGCAATATTTCTGTCAGGTCAGGTTAATCTTATTAGATACAACATTCACTTATGTATCGATTTCTAGAAAAACAAGTCTATTGAAAAACCTTATAGGTATATTCTATATGTTCCTTCATTGACGATCAAAGGTGCGTTAGCTGAAGTAAATTTTTCTGTATTAATCAATAGTATTTTTCATAGGCTACAAAAGCATATATTTTTCAAATTCAATAAATACTATTTATCTCAGAAATCTCCAGCACACATTGCTCTAGATAGGATTTTGCGCATGTTTAGCTAGTAGTTGGTACATATTTCGAGAGAAAGTTATTATTAAAGCCAAAATTAATAACGAATTTCGAATCAACATCGAGAACTGAGTTGACTTATGTACATTTCAAATGTTTTCGTGAACATTTTTTCTCGACAAATTTACCTGGGTGTTCTTCCTCAAGTTTCAGTCAAAGCTTATGGCATTCTATTCAAATTTAAAATGGTGAATGACTAAATAATAAAAGAGGCATTTTAATGAAATTCATTTTTGGACTGAAGCCTGACGGAGAACCCCAGGTAAATTTTTCGACAAAAAAACAGTCGCAAAAACATTTAAAATACACACAAGTCAACGCAGTGTTCGATACTGATTCGAAATCTATTAATAACTTCGGCTCTAATAATACCTTTCTTATTTATGGCCCTTGTTACCCTAAACAATCATCAAATTGATTTAAAAATACTATCAAACGATTTAACGTAAAAAGTCTGCATCGAAAGAGACATAACTTTTAACAATCCTGTATGTGGGCAAATTAATGATCTTATTCTCTTGTCTTCTTTCTAAAAACAATAAAATTATATTTTTTTAGTACCATCCAGCATTTGCTTCACAATGAGCATCGAGAAAGACAACAACATCACCGGTAGCTATACAAATAGAAACGAGAATTTTTTGTTTTGATTTCAAAATAAAACTAACCATTTTTTGCACCATAATTTTTTGCTTTAATTAATCCAAGTCTCGTTGGTGATCGTAATACTCTAACTAATTCTCCAAAATGTTCTTCGCAATAATCATCTAAGCGTTGACCCATTTCCTCTAAATAATTCGTAATATAAATAAAATCATTTGTGTTTTTCTATAGAATTTATCTTTACCAATATCCGATTGATCATCAACTAAAATAACTTCTTTTAATAAATGTTTTGGTGAACGATTAAGAACTGAATAAACAGTTCGAAGTACTGGTGACCAACGTTCATTTTTAAATACAATTATAACTGATGTAGTTGGTAAATCATATGGATATTCAACTGATTTACATCTATGTTTTATATAAATTCAATAAAAATAAAAAATTTGACTTTTTTTAAACATACAATGAATCTCGAGTATCAGGTATCGATCTCCATAATGAAATTTTATCACTAGCACGTAAATTAAAAAATTCTTTCTTCATAACTGCATCTAAATTTTTCGATTCTTCAGCCTAGTAAAACAAAACATTTTTTAAATTAAATAAAAATTTTTAGTTTTATTTATTTTTCAATTACCGTTAAAGACACACCTTGTCCATTCTCTCCTGGACAACCATGACATGGTTCAGGTATTGTATATGTTTCTCGATTAATGCGTATTTTATTTTCTCTAATATCTCTAGCTTGTCTACTAGCTAAAGTTGTATTTGATAATGATGAATTATTATTACTGTCATTGAATAAATATATAATAAAAACGATAATAAAAAGTATTACTACAAATCTATTACGACGACGATATAGACGCAAAGGGAGATGTCGAAAAAACATCTGAAATAGATCAAAAATAATGTCGTTTAATAAAAGATAAAATCTTTTTGTTTGTGCTTTAGTTTCATTGTTTATTATAATACATGTAAACATTTCATACACTTTTATTTTCTTTATATTTATTAATATTGTGCTTTTTATTTAAATGGTAACAGATGAATTGTAAACAACATATAAGAAGAAAAAAAACTAAAAATATGCAAATTAAATTCTATGCAGTTATATACAACCAATGCGATCACTGATTACCATTTGATCGAATTACAAAAAAAAAAGAAATTATTTGTTAATACCTATTGTTTCGAATAGGATTAAATGTTTTAACCTTTGTCATATGGTCACAAATGGGAAAAAAATCTATATACTGTAATATTATACATGCAGCGGTTGATGATTCAAGCCTTAGGAAACAAGCGCATTTTGGTTGAATTGACGAAAGAAATGCGAGAAAATTGTCGTATCCGCTCGGCAAACACTGAGTATTGGTGGAATGCCTCTGAGCTGTGTTCGATGACTTCTGATTTTTGCCATCGGAAATAACAAGAAGTTGAGTAGAATTCATAGAAGAAATCTGAAATATTATTTCAATATTTCATCGGCTTTCAGTACATTCCTACTGGAACGATCTCGTATACATTCAAATGAATAAATTCGTTGAAAATATTACGAACAAATTCTGTGTAATACTATACTATTACAAAATACATAATTTTAGAAAAAAAAATATTCATTTCAATAGTCTTATTATTTACTAATTATAGTAAATAGTCAATAATGATCTATTCGATAGGTCAAAATGATTTTATTTAAAATAAATGTCAACGAACAATTAGTCGAATTCAAAAAACTAAAAACAGCTTAATCTTCAATAGATTATTGGAAAATTTTTTCAAAGAAAAATATCATTAATTTTCTACAAGTACAATTCATTCTAAAACTTTTCAAATACGAAATACACTAACTGACATAGTTGTAAAATATTGTCTGTATTTTGAATCATACTATTACAATGCCTATGATTTACTTGATATGTATTACTCAGATAAATAATAACAAATGTGAACTATGTTTATAATACTCAATTACCGGCTATGTAAAATACAAATTTGCTTGTTAAACCAATGATAAATAATGATTAATTTACTCGAACGTTGTAAATTTATATCTGAAAGCAAAAAAAAAGAACTTTTTATTTGAAAAAAAAAACCATAATAGATCATTAGTTTGTGAATATCAATCACCGGAGATCTCTTAAATAAAGAATAAATAAATTTTTCAAAGTACATTTTGAAAAATATGGAATTCTATTTACAATTAAGCACTCGCTGCTTCTTTCTCTTGACGTTTACTTTTAAGAATATTTTTAATAAAATATTCTCCAGCTCGATAAGATGATCTAACAAGTGGTCCACTTGCTACATAAAGAAATCCAATTGATTCACCATAATTTTTTAATTCTTCAAAAACTTCTGGTCGAATATATTCTTTAACTTTTAAATGTCGTCTTGTTGGTTGCATATATTGTCCTAATGTTAAACAATCAACATTAGCTCGTGTACGTAGTTGATGCATTGTTTCTCGAATTTGTTCATTTGTTTCACCTAAACCTAACATTAATGAAGTTTTTGTTATTAAATTTGGATTTATTTCTTTTGCATAAATAAGAACATTTAATGATTGTTCAAAATTAGCACGATAATCACGAACATGTGATTGTAATTCTCGTACAGTTTCAACATTATGCGCATAAACATCTAAATTTGATTTAACAATTGTTTCAATACATTTTTTATCACCACGAAAATCTGGTGTTAAACATTCAACAAGTAAATTTGGTTTTTGTCGCTTTATTGAACTTATTGTTTGTGCTATATGTGATGAACCTTGATCAGATAAATCATCACGATCAACAGATGTTAAAACAATATAATCAATATCCCATGAACATATAGCTTTAGCTGTATTTTCTGGTTCATTTGGATCAGGTGGTGAAGGCTTACGAGAAGTTTTAACTGAACAAAAACGACAACCACGAGTACATTCATCACCTAACAACATAATTGTAGCTGTTGCAATACGATCTTCACCACCATTCCAGCATTCACCTAGAGATGAATTTTTCATAAATTAAAAATTTTATTTTGACAAAATGATTAGCTTGATATAACTTAATATTGTTATTTGAACTTTCTTCACATTTTATGTTAACAAAACTGAAGGCAAATAAATACGCATTCAAACTCAACATTGACATATTTTTTTAGAAGCTTTTTCTTTCTAAATTAGAAATTATACTTTTCAATATTCTGATTCTGCTTTGTTAATTATATTTCAAAATCGAACTTTTCTACGTATTCTTTTTCTCAAGGTCAATTAATTGAAAAATATATATATATATATATTCTCACCAATATTCGGACATTTAGCTTCAACACAAACTGTATTTAAATTTAATTTTGATATTGTCTTTTTTAATTTTGTAAAGTTTTCTCCAATAGGTATTTCAGTTTTTAACCATGGTGGAATTCGAAGACGTTGTTCACCTTTACCTAATACTAAATTTCCATGATAATCATTTGATTTATTATTTTGTTTAAGAAAATATTCTAAATTAGGACCATTTTCAAGACGAGATTTTCCATGTAAATAACGATTAAAATAAAAATTTATTTGAGATTTTCGAAGAAAATTTTTCGTCATTATCAAAATTAGAAATTGTAATAATAATGAACTACTCGTGTAGTAAATGCTACACGGCGTCATCTACATTATCTTATTGGTTGACTTTCTTTTTTCGTTTGTTGTTTTTTCATTTATCAAAAATTCAGTTGTATTATGTATAACCAACAACAGTATCAATCGGGACCCTTACCCCAACAAAAATCTACTATTCAAAAAGTAAATTTATTATTTTTTTGTAAAAAAAATTTCAGATCATTTTCTTTTTAGTTACTTGATGATAATTCACTATTAATTTCATTAATTCTTGATTTACAATCTAAAGGAAAACAAATCGAATGTCTTGAGTAAGTTTTTTCTTATTTAAATAAAAATAATTTTTAATAATCTTTTTCTTTTTTTAGATATCAAAGAATATTATATCGTAATTTAACTTATTTAATTCAATTCGATCCATCAACATCTCATCATCCAAATCATCTACCAGTTTGTATATTTCTTTATTATATATACTTAAGATTTCTCTGTTGATTTTTAGCCACCTGATGCATTCATTCAATCACAACAACAATCTATGATCGTAAGACATTCTTGAATTTTCCAAGAAAAAAAAAATTTTCTATTTAAATTTTTCCAAGAATGGAAATATGGTTCAACAAATTCAATCTGATCAAAGTAAACATTTCGAACTAAAGCATTATTACTTCCTTATCTGAAATATATTGTTTCATTGTACGATATAGTAACATTAACATTGATGTTCTATCTTCTGATATTATATAATATAAGAAGATAGAACACTTACTAAACGAATATCTTTCTATTAACTCATGAAGAAATCTTATCAAGTGATACATTGACTTTAAGATGAATCGTACTTGAACCAGCAACCACTATTGATACTAGACAAAATCTGAAAGGATTCTTGTTCTAATGTGTTCTTAACTTATAGTTATTTTAGTGAGTTTTTCAAACAAAAATGTTTTGATCATCTTTTTAAAACCGAATTTCGAGTTCTAAAAATAACGTTTTCAACTAAACTAATGCATCGTGCCATCGATATTATTATTTGAAGATTAAAAAAGTTGCTATTACAATTTCTATGAGGTTAAAATGTGAAATACGATGTAGTTACTGTTACTAATTAGATAGAAATTGTTTTATTCTATACATTCTGGGACATTTTTCTTCACCTTCCTTTTATTTCATATTCCAGAAATGTAATACGGAAGTAGTTAATATATTGTACTTAACTGTTATTAATATACGGAGGTCCAAATTTCTATCCTATATAGTTTAACACTCCTCCTTTAGGTTGTACTTCGCAAAATGCTAAGAAATTCGACACTATTACAATGAACTATTTTCTTATTTGTTCAAAAATTGAATTCGAAAGTCGATTTTGAAGATGATGTAGAGCTAACCAAGGCATTTTGTTTAGACTTTCTTAAGTTTCCATAGGAACTGTCTGATCAAATAATACTCATCTCAAAATTGATTTATCATTTACGAGGTTTAAATCATTAATAAAGTTATATCTATCGAGTAAACTTTCATAACATTATGTATTTATCTTTAGTCTATAAAGCACAAACAAATACTCTAAACCAAACTTCTCATCATTCCAATGTTAATTCATATCCTTTATCTACATCTACAAATGCATCAGTTGAACAACAATATTCATCTAATGCATCAGTCTCATCTCATTCAAATCCAGTAACTAAACCTCAACAACGATCACCATATTTACAACAAGGAAGACTTGTTAATAGTAATTCAATCGATTCATCCTATTCACAATCTTATATTCCACAACAACAACAACATTCATATTCAATACAACAAAATAGTTACGGACAATATCCAATGTATTATCAACAACAAAGTAGATTTTAAACTTTTTTTTTCTTTTCTTAATTTAAACTAAACAAAAAATAATAATAATAAATTTAGATCCACCATCTCAGTCGAATTCTCCAATAAATAATTCTTCAACTAATACACAAAATTTTATTTCAAATCAACAAATTATGCATAATAATTATAATGAACAACAACAAATATATTATCCACAACAAAATTATCTTATGCAACAACAATGGCCAAATCAACCTCGCATTCCCATGCAACAACAACAACAACAACAACAACAACAATATACATCGTCCTATCAACAACAAGTACCACCTCAAGCTTAACTGTTTTTTTTTCTTTCGCTTTTCCATTTTTTTTTACGGTTTTAGTATTCCGAATGGTTATGTGTTATTCACAAACTTTGCTATTTTTCTTCTGTGAAAATTTGTAATGAATCTCATAACATATTCGATTCTAGTCACACACCTATATTTTTTTTTTCTTGGTGTTTGTTGATTACTCATTTATGTGTGTGTGTGCCTGTGTACGAACAAAACAAAACAAATTTAATAACAGAAAGAAGAGTATTGTTATATAAATAATAAAATATTGTTTCTTTTGTTTTATATTTAGAATGTCAAAGATTTTTTTAATTGATCCAGAAACAGGCAATAATTATCAAGGCAATGAACGAACAGTCACTAATGTAATGAACATAAAATAAAGCTAATTAAATTTTTTTTTCTGTTTTATTGATCGTTATAAGACGGTAAAATTTTATCTAAGATTTGTTCTCGGAATAGAACAATTATGTTAATTTGAATTTGTTTGGTGGACTTTTGTTAACAATAGTGAGAATTTTTTGCTTATTAGTGTATATTGATAATGATGAAAAATTAAAGAATTCATTTTGTTTAAGTTTCGATTCTTTAAACTATTGGAAAAGTTAAATCAGTGAATCATTATTTTAGATCGTGTCCATTTATAGGAATAATTCTAAAGGTTGAGAATCAAAATAAATATTTTTTTAGCGAGATATTAGATTTTTATTAAAACTTGGTCATGTAAGAGAATTTTATAAATGATAAGATTTGTTGTTTTTTTTTTAAGAGTTGGTGCCTCCCTGCCAATATAGAAACTCCCTTCTAATTTCAATGCTATTTTTGTCAATAGATACTATGAAATATTTTAATAAAATCCCTAAGAGAATTTGGGTTCCTATTGAAATTTAATTGTACCATCGAATTTTGATTTGAAACTTTGAGCCTATAAACAAGTTAAGTGAACTAACTTCCATAAAAAAAAAAAAAGGTATAAATGTTACATAAAAAAATTTCTTTGAGATATGAGACTTTCAAGATAGAGATCCTTTTCCATAGATAGTATATACAACATGCATTTATTGAAAGTTACATATCTCGAAGAGACTCTGTTCAAAACCTCTAAATGTTTTAATGGAAACTAGTCTAGTTGAGTTCTCTCTACGCACAAATTTTCAGATCAAAATAGAATAGTTTAATCAAATCTTGATAGACATTCAAATTTTTTTAGGGATTTTATTAGAACCTTATGTAGTATCTACGGGCAAAAACATGATTGATATCGGAAGGGGATATCTGAGAAGGTTCTCTCATAATTTAACGCTTGTTTTGAAGCCAAGTTTGAAATTATTTTAAGTAAAATTTAATTGGACTAATTCTATCCGATTGGTCACGTTCTTAAGTATACTTATTTAATCTTTTAATCTTCCACGAAGAAAAAAAGCACTCGTTTTTTACAATCATTTCTTTTTCTTCTTCATTTTTCGTACTTGTAATTTTATTTTCACTTCATGACAAAAGTAATAAAGTCAACTACTCAAATACATATGCATATATTATATTTTATTTCAGTGCCGTGTTAGCTTAACTTTTATTCGATGCTTTACTTTATGTTCTCAAGCTCATTAAAATTCATCAATTCGAAAATAAATGAAAAAAAATTAAACTAACATAGTACCTACATAAAACATAATATATACATATATGTGTATAGTTGACTCTATTACCTATGTCATGATATAAACATTAATCTACAATAACATAAAAGAAATGATTGAAAAGGCACTTTGTTTTTGATCGTTCGAGAGTACAGCATAGAATAGCTGTGGGCTACATTATTATTTTTATTATCAGTCCTCGGAGTATTTTTTTTCTTGTTCTTCTGACAAAAGTTTCTTAAAAATTAAATCATACTATGATTTCAACAAAGTCGTTGAAAAGAAAACTATTGACATTAGATCATCACATTCTTTATTATCCATATTTTAATCTTATAATTTAATCCAATATGTCTTTGTTTTTTTTTGTCATTTTAGTTACTTCGAGAAAATGCTGCGTTAATCCGAACAATAAAAGAATTGCAAAATGAAGGAAATAATGATAATTTATTTGATTATATGAAACAATTACATCGAAATATCTTATGGCTTAGTTTACTAGCAGATGGGATATCAACAAAAAACAAATAATTAATATTGTTACGGTGATGCTGCACCTGTACATATATATATATATATCTTTTGATTTTCCTCTATTGTCTCTCATCTTTTTATAATCTTTATTTGTTCTATCTTCTCTTTCGTTCTATCTATATACATATATATGTTTGTTTTTGTTTCGTTTCTTCAGAGAATAAAGTTAGTGCGTACATCAGCACATTAAAGTTAATATCTTTAAGTAACCAACATTTAGGAATAAATAAAATCCTATCAAATATGATATAATGTTTATTTATATATAATGTGTATATGCTTATTGAATTTATCATTACCAATTAGCCCCATTTCGATCACGATTAAAACCTAAATAGCTTTGATTAAAGAAAAGCGACCAAACATTTGCATAGCTTGGAATAATAATTTTATCCTCAACAAAATCAAGCTTTTCTTTATTGTTTGCTCGACGATATGCATTTAATGCTTAAAAATAAAAGAAATTTTGTTAATTGTGAAAAAAAAACTTTGATTTTTGTTTACCAATATCAAGTGATTGAATAAATTCATCACAGTTATAATAAATCGTTTCACGTTCTTTATCATTATAAGCTAAATGATGTGAGACGAATACATGCACATTAGTCTGAGCACCTGGATTCCAACGTGTGATAAGCGATGGTTCATCTCCATGGACAATTTTAACTCCACCATATAGATATTCACTAAACGAAGAAAAAACCAAAAAAAAATTAAATATTTAAAACAAAAAAAAAAGCATTTATTTACCCCATTAGAGATTTACTTGGATAAGAACATGGACCATATGTAACTGAAGTAATATCACCAAAAAGAATTATTTGTGAATAAATAACTCGTTCTCGAACAAAATTATAACGAACAATTAATATATGATTTTCCATAATAGTAACAATAACTTCCCGATGTAAATTCCAATGATCAATACTATATAGAAATAAATATATCGAAAAAGAATAATTATGATTTAGAAAAAAAAAACAGAGAAACTACATACTCAATTAATAGCCATGATCGTTTCATAAGATTATCCCGATATTCATTTGTATAATCAATATTAGGAAAAAATCCTTTTTGAATATTATAAAGTGCCTTTTCAAATCCTTGATTCTATATATATATAGAAAAAAAACAGACAGGTTCTTTAAAATATCGTCATTTAATATAACTCAATTTACTCTATATGAGAAATATTTAGATGCATGATAATCGTGACATGAAACACGTCCATCAAGATTGTTCACTGATGAACGACTTGTTGTTGAACGTGTTGTACGAGTTGATTGTGGTCGTGCTTGTCGATCGAACGCCATTGGCGGAAGAATATCATCATCAAGAGGACTTTCTGTTGGATCATTTGGATCAGATACATATGACGGATTGCTAATACTCAATTGTTCAATTGTTGTTATACTAGGTGTTATGTTAGTTGCCATTGTTACGTTTATTAGAAGAAAAAAAAAACTACTGAATCAACGAGAATAAAAGTCGTGTTCTCGTTAGGTAGAAAAAGAAATTACGAATAAAAAATTGTTAATAAAGAAAAAAAAATGCGACGAAGAGAAACGGTCGAGAGAGAGAGTGGATTTTTTGTTTCTTCGATACTCAAATATGTTGAGTCAGAGAAAGTTTTTCTTTTTTTACTGCTTGTCAAACACAGATTGGTGACTGAAGTTATACGTCACCAATTCCATCTCATACAATAAACACTTCTTTTACTTTGAAGTATTTAAAAAAAGAGAAATGCTATGAGTTTTTTTATAGTAATAAGAAATTTTTAAAATAAATAAATACGAAATATTTTCTACAAAGTAAAGAATACTGAGTGCTAAACCAAAACTATCAATTCAATAGATCAATCAATTTGACCTTGATATCAAAACAGTTCTTTCTAAGTAAAAAAAAACATTCCAATAGTTTTCATGTAGGTCAACAACATCAACTCAATGTTGCTTACATAAGATACTGACGCATTCAAAAATTTTAATTGAATAAAATGACTAATACACACTTGTTTTTCTTTTCATAAAATTCATACACAAATCATACTGTTTATTGAGTTAATAAATAATCTTATACACTATAATGTTGTGAATGTGAAGTTTGTATTACTGTTCCGATGATGATTAATAATTAGTTATTGTTACGAAAATCAAAGTAAAGACAACTATTATTCATCATAACTTGTTTTATATTAAAACACCTCAAGTGTAAATGTTTTAGTAGATCAACACTTCGGAACACGATTCATGATATCAATTTCATACGAAAGTATTTAATTCGAAAGGTGTCAATAACATCTGAAATTTAAGCAACTTTTATTTTTCAATCATTTGTATATATTTCAATAGAGCCTGTTGAACTGAGTACGAAAAATACTATTTCAAAATGTTTTTAGTCAAGATATTATAAAATATATGTATCTTCTAATAACATACAAAATACGTAACTAGCCCAATCCTACGTCAAAGTTAGGTTTTTCGTAGCTTAAAATATTTTGCATACAGCTAAAACACGAGACGACTATGAAGCTTTTTTCTAGTGACAGATAACGATTTTGGAAAAATATTTTTCAGTTATCAAGAGAAATGAATTTTTCGATATTCACTCACTAAATTTCAACAAGAATGAACCTGTATCTGTTCATTTTGACTATTAAAATTTGATTGAAGTGCAAAATCAATGTCATGTTCGAAATCAGCACAATAAAAAACAAGTGAAATAACATATATTTGGCCTAAATCCTTTTTTGTCAAAAACACATACATACTCGTCTTTAGTCGTTTGTTGCAAAAAATACTCCTATGAACTCCTGGGGTGTGTTTTTGACAA